ACGCAGCTTACAACCTGCGGCAGCCAGCCTGGTCTCAGGACTTCCATGAACACAGACCCTCACGTGCCCTTTATGTGCATACCCGGTAGGGTGACCGCTACAAACAGAGTGCATGCATTTTGCTAAAAAATATAAACATGGACTAACTGTTATTTTTCAGAATTTCCTCAGAAGTACACACCTAAATTATTCTGCTTTAAAGCTGCTTTAAGTTTTAACTGCAAACAGAATTAAGTGTTATGTAAGTATGAAAATTTTGTGTTGAGGTATATTCAATGAAGAAAAGAAAGCCTAAAAAGACAATTTGTATTCAAATGGCTTATTTTTGTTACACTCTAGGAAAAAGTAGGTTATTTTACCAAGCTGGTTACTTAACATCCACGGAAATAGCTGGTAATAAATAATTCAAATTGTCAGTCTGCTTCTGTGGTGGAAGAGTTTTTATAACTACCCAGCAACTGATAATTTAATTTACTGAGTTCCACCCAATTACACAGTGAGTTATACTTCCAAACGTGTGATATGATTTGCATACAAAACTATACATATGCTCATCATGAATGCAAAACAACCCCTGGATACAGCAAATCAAGCAAACAACTTACAGGAATGGATGTAAGGGGTATTTTGCCAGTATATCTTATCTTTAAACTTTAACACATACTTTCTGTCTGAAGAAACTTATTAATACTTGAATTTTATGGCAAAATTGAAAGCACAAAGCTAAATAAACGACATTACACAAATAAAATAACGCAGCTGCAAATACCAAATTGTTTGAAGACAAAACTGTAATCAATTACAGTCAAATAACAATTTTTTTTTTACCTCTCCCACTAGTCAAAATTCTTCTTTTAAACAGTCAAAGAAAGGTGCTTTTTGCCTGAGCAGTGTTTTTCTATATTATGATTACAAGTTCGTTTTTTTTTTTTATTTTTATTTAAAAGCAATCTAATTACTCTAAGGTATTACTGTGTTTGCACACAGTTTAAAGATACATGAATAATTTAATGACATCGCCGGAAACCTTTTTCATTCCTTTTAATAATGAAAGCAAAACTATACCTGTGCTCTCTTCTCCATGTCCTGACAAGTACCTAGTTGCTCTTCCATTGCAGCTCTGATTTGTCTTGCCTCATACTCTAACTGCCTTCTGGTCATGTCTGTTTGCAAGGAGAACTGAAATTGAAGTGCAGATAAAGCATTTTAGCAAATGAAATCGATGTGAACTATATATTTTTCTGAACAGAAGCAGAACAATTATCTTTCTGCGTGAAACTTCCTAAGTCAACATGAATAACAGACCTTTATTCTTCAAAACATGCTTAAAAATAAAAACAGTATTATTCAACCCAAAAGCTACCTGCAAGTCTTATCAAATGGCTAAATACAACATATAAACACACTGACACAGTATCATTACCAGCATGGAACATGTGGATGCTCAAATATATCAGCACACCAACGACTATTCATAGGTTTCAAACTATTGCACTGATGGCATTCATGCTACAGCTATTGGTCCTATTTTCTATCCTAGTAAAAAAAAAAAAAAAGCATAATTGTTCAAGCCATAATCTACAAGAAAAGGTACTCCAGCCAATATACTTTTCGATCTTGAAACTAAATCTCTTAGATTTAAATACACAGGTCTTTGCAAGTAATGGAGAAACCTGAAAATGAGCAAGAAAGATGAGTAGGCACAATCATCTCAAGATCACAGAAGCACAGAAATGTCCAGGTTGGCAGTGACTCCTGGACATCCTCCTCCTGTTTCCCTCTAAAGCTGGGCTTTAGGTTATCCACTGCCTTTTGACAAGCTAAGTTTGGATATTGCCAGCATAAAAGACTCTACCACTTCTCTAAGCATTATCTTCCACTGTTCAAATTGTCCTCAAGGTAAAGATATTATTTTCTTACATTGGGACAGAATTCCCTCTGAAACAACTGCTTCCCTCTTGTCCAGTACCATGTGAATGGAGTACCTCCACCTCCTCTATAGCTGACTTTTCAGTACTGGAAGACTACCTGATCCCTCCTAGAGCTTTTAAATATTTTTTAAGCTTAAAATTTAACTACTACTCACATGTACCCATATGTAATTTATTCAAACATATGGAAAATAGTACCAGGTCCAGCAAACATGTTTGCTCCAAAAGAGCTTTAGTTCGTTCAAATTACATGGTTACCTTCCCTAATAACTATTTTTACCAGATGAATACATGATTTATCTATTCAATTTCTGATCAAGTTAGTGGTTTCAAGTATGTAGCTGTATGTAACTGGAAAGTAAAATAAAATGAATACCACAGGAAAGATCAGTGAGAACTGCCTTTCTGGAAGAAAATGGGAGGTGACAAGCAAACATTGCCACTGTACTTAAATTTACAAAGACTTATCTCTAGTCTGCTCTCCAGCAAAAAGGTACTAGCAACTAAACAACAAACCAAGATCAACGTGTGAAAATAAAAACTAGAAGACATAATATTTCTTTACTATGAGGAATAATTACACAGAAGTACAGTAAGACTGCTAAGGAAGAAGTTTTAGAAAACACCAAACTACTATATTGCACTGCTACATTAAAAATATTATTGTGTATACAGGGATACGGCAGAACTTCTGGCATAACCAAAAGTTATGCTGAATGGCCACGTTATTGATAACAGAAAACAGAAATTATCTTTTCTTCTTTGTTCTAGAACTTCTCCTGGTATGGGAATAGGAAATATCAAAGGCTGTGACACTAGTCACCTGTATCACCAGAAATATGCAGACATCTAACGAAGACAGAATTTATAACCCCTTTCTGCTTTGTGTAAGGATCTTAAAAGCAGGCCAGAAGCAAGCCTTCAGCTACAAGTATATGAAAAGAAACGTAAGACCTGGCATCTAGCCTTAGAGCCAACAGTGTGTTTTGGCAGATGCACAGAAATAAGGCAGCTTTGCATTTCGAAACACGACACAGAAGTATGAACTGAACTGAGACACAGAAATTTAAAACCATGGGAAAATTATGATGAGGTTAGAAAGCCATAGTTATTATTAGAAAATTCAGTTATGGCTGATGTGTCTTTTCACTCTTCCTAGAAGTCAACTCCTCACTGTTTTTGAGCAATAGGTCTTTGTAAATAAGCACTTTTCCAACAGCACATTCTCCCAGAAGACTTCACCAAGGTCAAGTCAGAAAGACAAGAGATATAACAGTCTATATATATACACAGAACACTACTAAAAGCAAAGAGATAATTTGTCTGCCATACTGGACAGAACAAGAAGTAATGGACATAAATTGCCATTAAAGAGATTTAGCATATACGTCAAGTAAAACATGCCAACAATAAGAGCTCAGTTAACATATTACCTATTAAGCTGGGGAGACTTCATCTTAAAAGCTACAGTACATTCAAGAGTGATAGATACACTGACTACCTTAGGGAACAGGTTGCATTTCCTCAAGATCCATTTCAGTCTCCTCCTCCTTCCCCTGGTTTTCTGATTAACTTAGCTATGACTAGAGCACTATTTTATTGACTGCTCTGCATTGAGAGCTTCCGTGTAAATTGTCTCTTTGGCTAGTATTGGTCACAAACACAAACATCGGGAGTAGATTGAAAAAAGGCCTTTGGGGGACACAGGTAAAGAAAAACCTACTGACATGTAATGCGCTTTTCAAGTGCTCCTGTCTAGCACTGACATTCATACTGTAACGTGTACAAATCTAAACTTTAAAATATCATCTGAAAAGCATGGAACTGCAAAGAAAAATGCATACATAGAGAACTAAAGTGCTTTAACCCAAAACAATAGTAGAGAAGTTCCACAAATTTGTAAAACATACATGGCAACTCAACAGAGTCCACAACACCTGAATAGGCACGATGAAGTTGCTTACATTTTCAGTAAGGGGGAGACTATCAATCCTTTTAGTAAGGTTTTGAAGCTGAGCATAATACCAGTCCTTTTCTTTCTCTTCCTTCTCAAGCTCCGCAAGCAACAGAGATCTATTAAAAACAGAAGCAGAAAATGTCTCACTGCCTTCAGTCTTCATTACCAATACAAGAACATCAATAAGCATTGATACCAATACAAAAAGTCATGTAAGAAAAGAAGGTTTTTTTGGCCCTAGATAAACAAACTATCCACTACTCTTTGCTAAGCAAGTCCGTGTAGCTTCTTGCTTATCATGTACACATCTGTAACACACAGAATAACTATCCTTTATTATAAAACCACTTGGAAATCTGCAGCTGAGAGCATTTTGTGAAAGCTAAGTACAGGTATTAGTCCTGTGCTAATTTGCACCTTGCTTCTGTGCGACCATACGCTTTGCATACTGCAGCAAACTACAACTGATGTTTAGGAAAAGGCTTGGATATTGTGGTAAAAACATCTCAGGTTACCATTACTGAAGTCAGCTACCTTTGTTGTCTCCATGGCACTTTCTCACTAACTGTCATACATGACAAACCAAAGCACAACGCAAACAAGTCATTTGCATGATAATTAATAATATTTTAAGAATAGTTTGCATCAAAAGTCAGGATAAATTTATAACTGCGTAACACATTTTAAATACATAAGCATACTGCAGACCTTGGTAGTATGTGCTAAAGATACTGGAACATCAGTACAAGGAGTGGAATACATTTATATGCAGATTTTGAGAACATAGCAATTAAAACAATTTTTTATATTCCTTTATAAATTACACTCACACTGTTAAAATTTACCAGTATAGTTAGTTACATACTACTTACTAATATTGTATTTCTGTTTTAAAAATATATTATGGCCAAAATTGTGCTAGTACAGTATACAAACAAGCCATTTTCATAAAACAATAAATAAATAAAAGTTTTTTAGTTTCTTATAAAATGCTTTCTCCCTTCTGACACTTTAGTATTACTTATTAACATCAGAGGAAACGCTAAAATCTTATTAGATTACAGGTTATATAAAGATGGGGTACTTCATTAAAAAAAAAGAGAGTGCAGCATTCCTGAACTGAGCGGCATACTCAGCATATCACAGAAAGCTGTACAGAAGTTTGTCCAACATTATTTCACGTCCCGTAACTTCTGCATCTTTTTCTCTTTTTCTCTAAACAGATGTTGTGATCTTTCTGACACATGAATCTAACAAACTTACATACATCATGTATAATTACCTCAAGTATTTTGTTAAGTAATAAAAACAGACCATTCAAAAATAATAATTAAAAAACCCTCTGATTTCTTTGTTAGTGTATCTTTGGTGTATCTTGCTAAAAAGATGATCAAGCTTCCAAATGAGTGAACTTCATGTAAAATAAAGACTGTAAAAACACGTTTTAAAGTACCTGCTTGACTTGGATAATATTGAAAAAATGTTTCAAGTAAATAAACCTAAGACGGCTTAAGGTTAATATTCCCTGTTCAAAGCAAGTGATCTGAACAGTACTCAAATTGGAAAATGAAAGATTTACAGGATCTAGGTATTAGTTTAAACTATTAGCTCTATTTTCTTTTCATTTACACATGGGCAGAACTGTGAATAATACTGAAAAGACTCAATACATCTTGGAAAGAAAAAAAATCTTGAAATCATTTAGATGTGTAAAGTAGCAGCTGAAATTGCCTAACGTAATATAAAACTATAAAAGAACAGAATTGTAATCTTAATGGCTGTTATATTCTTTTTGAAGCAAAACCATATCATTATACTAACTACTCAGTTGTTGGACTGTTTCCTCTCACTTCACCAAACATTAAGCCATTTATCTGGTCAACTTTTGTACTAGATCAGCTTACAATTAAAATTACTGGAAAAAAAAGTAATAAACAACAATTGCCCTACTGTTTCAGGTAACTTTAACAGGATTACAGGATGCACAGTAATTCCACAGTGACAAGGATGGGCATGGGCACGAATCTCCTACACCAAGGACTCTAGTCCTTCTCTTGGGACACTTCGGTTGTGTTGAGGAAAATGCAAACTCTTTTTGCTTGGGGAAAGCCTGTGGGAAAGGGTTACTCTTTTCATCTCCCACATGCCCATCGTCTATGCCCCATGTGCAGATCTCTGCAAGGCTTTCCCCTTCTTCCCCCATGCATGTTATCGCACTGAGCGTGTCCAGCTTTTGAAGTGCTAGTTACAGAAGCATAATTAATCTGATCCTTATGAAAAGCCTTTTTATCTGTAAAAGCTTTTTTTTAATCGTATGAATCTGATTATTCTCATCTGTTGCTGACCAAAACTATATGAGGATGAGCAAATCTCAAAGGATTGACTAATTTTGCCTCTAGATGTCAAAAGAACTGGTACTGAAAAGAAAGGGGATTATTTTCAGCTAACCAACAGAAGTCCTTTTCAGAAAGTGGGTAAGTGAATAACTGATTAAGTTTCTCTTAAAATGTAGGGTATTCAGTTTGGGAGTGAGACATTGTGCCATTCAATCTGTTTTGACAGGCAGAAAGGCTGCTCGAAGCAAGAAAGGAACTTAAGAATCATCACCGCACCACAAACAACCTAATACATAACCTGGGGGGGGGCTCTTTTCATTTAATGGTCTCATTTTTTTGAGACATACTTTATTTTATGGTTTCATTTTATGGTTCTCTCTGACCCTTAGCCTAAAGGGTCTTGGCACAACCATAGCAGGCTCTACTCAAATTTCCTTGAAAATGAACAAAGCAATTCTGCAGATATGAGTGCTTCTTGCACTAACACTTGTACCAGGTATTACACCATCCGGAAGAAAAGCTCCTTTTGCAGGCATCTGGGACTTCTTGAAGTCAGGAGTGAGTTTAAGGTGGAAGAGCTGTTACTGATCAAAAAGATCTGATGAGAAAACTCGGTGCAGTTATCTCATCATTTTATTTGTCAGAATTGCTTGTATCTGCACTTTCACAGTATGAGAGAATATTCTGTTCCCCGTCATGTGATATCAAGCTCAGTGAGAATGCAGCAAGGCAAATCAAGCAAAATTTTGAAACTTCATAGCACTACTTTGAGTAAAAAATATTTCCAATTTGAATTGCTTCTCTAAATGATGTGTGCTTCAAAAGACTTCTCCCTCACCCCTTTTTTTTTGAGGCTCCCAGCAATAAGTGAAGTGGCATAAACGCAGCAACAGATTCTTATCACAGAAATCTTTTTTTGGATAAATATGTTAATCTTATTCCCAGTTCATGCCATTCTACCAATATCACATTATTTCAATTATAATTAATATTTAGACTTCAATTTATAAGCCATAAAGCAATAAAGCAATAGAACTTTAAAATGGTACAAATTTCTGAAGATTACTCTTGGGAAACAATTGATATTTCAAACAGTCACTTTTGATCAACACCGAAGGTAAAACAGGTAGAAATGTCTCCCAAATAAATAATGTATAACACACGGAAGTTGAAACAAAATTACTGCAAACAAAAACTACCGATACAAGAAATCAGCTGTTTCTAGCTGCACACTTCAGTAAGTTAGCATTTTTGTGAAATTGCAGAAACACTTTCACATCCTCCTCCTTAGACTGAACACGGACTTTACAACATCTCGCAAAAGCAAACAGTGCTGACAGATGCTAGAAAGACTTCCAGCAAGCAGCCCAATCAGCGGAGAGGAGATAAGAGCAGGGAGGGAGAAGTCACTAGAGAAAATGCTCAAAACCAACATTAAAAATAGTGGAATAAAACAGAGGAAATAAAGCTGGAAAAAAATTTTCATACAGAAAGAGTTTTAAACACGTCTTAAAGATCATCAGCCTACGGGGGAAATTACAGAACTGACAAATAAGATTAATAAACTCACTAGCTTGCAAAAGGCAAACTGACAAACAAAGTGACCTTCAAAGTACCTCGAAAAGTTTTGTTTTTGAGACATCAAATTTGACTGTCTTGTCAAATACACCTGGAACTAGCCAATGGGCATGCCGAGTTAGTTCACTGCTTAAACTACTTTTAGCATTGAGAAAAATTTCCAAGGACTATCGCCCTAGAACCCACAGCAGTGGGAAGCGATCACAGATCATAAGACAGATGTAATAAACACCTTGAAAAACTCCAGTTGCTATGCATTAATATATGCTGTTTTGAGTGGCCTCGAATTCTTGTGAGCCACAACTAAAAGGCCCAAGATTTTAGTATCATGTGCAGTAGAATCCAACATCGGAAAACACAGGAAAAAGATGATCGAAGACTCTTACTCTAAGTAAGAAGTGCTTTCTGTATAAAATATCAAACACTGAAGACTTTGTTTCATCAATCTCACCAAACTATAGCCACTAGGAAGGAAGACCATTTGCACCAAAACACCATGTTGCAATTTGTATGGTTTTGTAGCCCCCAGCCTGACATCTCATCCATTACGTAGCTTTCAGCAACCAAATCTTTAGAAAGCTCTGTCTTAAACAGAGGCCTCTGAAACCATCTGGGGTTTTAGTCAAACTCATTTCAGGGATATCAAGATATCCCTGAATATCAAGGATATCAAGATATCCTCGATATCAAGAGGCCCTCAATAGAAAAAGTTGCCTGCCTCTTCCTTTGCATTTCCTTCACAAGAGCATTTCCTTTGACGTGTGGTGCTTCCAGGGCATATTATTGAAACATATATTCTTCACATAAAATTGATAGCACTATTGTACAAGAAGAAAACTTCTTCATTTTGCCAATAGGCTTGACACCATATAGGGATGGCATCTTGAAAAAAGAGTAAATATCTTTGTTTGGCAGTCATTTTTGTTAAGAGAAAGGAATCACTAGGTAAAAGACTACTAACAAAGTAATTCACTAATGACCCGTCATAGCTATTAGCATTTAAACAAGTCAAAGAGACTGCATTTACACATTGCTACACTTTCAGCACTAATTAACAGCGGTGAGGAGATACAGAGCTGTTTGGGATTCTTCGTGTTTCTCACTATAAAAGTTATCTACACTAACTCTCTACCGATGAAAACAAAATTAATTTTAACAAACAACGAGCAACAGTAAAATATACGTACGACAAAGAAGTAAAAACTGTATTGTGTGCTTGTGTATTTAATGTAGATGCCTGGTTTCTTTACCTGTTAGGATAATTCTAACTATAACACTAATCAAAATCATATGCATGATAACTAATATTAAGTGTGAGATCTTCAATGTTTCAGTAAACTTGCATGTTAAACTGAAAAGTTGTCAATTCACATTGAAGGAATAAATGTATAAAAATGTATACATGTATAAATAAGTGTATAAATAAATAAAAAGAAGTTTACCTCTCTTTTTCTAGCTCTTCTAAATAACCAGTGCTTTCTCTGCTTCCATTCATAAAACCTCTTCTTGGAAATGATCCCATGGGAACGGGACTGCACTCTCCTGAACGGCTTGACACAGACCCTTCCCGGCTCCCATATGAACGCACGGACACCTTTGGCCTTAACTTCACTCCAGGGAAGTTACTACCTTCCAAGTTCAGCTCTGCATAATAAGGAACAATGTTTTCAGTGCTTAAATTCAGCATCATAAATCTTGAAGAACCTTCCTATCTTCATGCCGTACTGCATGAACAAATCTATGATTTTTTAAAAATGGAAGCTGTTAAAACTTTTTGCTTTGGGATCCACAGAAGAGCATAATGTGAGCAAAACCAGTCATGACAGTATAGCTGGAGTGTGCTGATCTTCTAGAGGAGAAGATGCCCAAGCTACAGTCATGTCAGCCAAAACAGCATCTCCCAACCAGTTTGCTTGCTTCTTTATGAGAGAATCATAGGATTTGTTCTTGTGGCCCACTTTCTAACAGTGTCTTTCTCGGAGATCTTGCAGCTACTGCACCATCATACAAATGCTAAGTGTCCACCATAGGGGCCTAAATACGAACCTTCTGTACTGCATTTCTGGTACTGTGACAGACAGAAGGATGTAAGCAGAAAGGCATTGTTCTGGCCTTGCTCTGCATGTCCCATAGATACAGTTCCAGTAATGTGACAGTAAAAATGCGAGTGTGTAAACAAGTTTAAGAAATGGATGGACTAACACACCACTAATTAATTTAAACAATTTAATCTTTTTTTTCCAGAAAAAATGAATAAAGACAAGTTATATTCAATGCAATTCTAAGATTATATAAGTTTAATGAAAATAAGTATGTAAATGCTTCCTATGAAGCTCTACAGTAAGAGCAAAAAGCACAAAAGCAACACAGGAATACATTCTTTTTAGAGAATGTCTGAAAATACCTAACAAAAAATCTATGTGTCAAAGTTAGCAATGGAAAAAAGATGCAGCTGGGGTGCAAAATTTTATCCCAAAGCAACTATAACTAAGCAACAAATTCATCTATTTAAAATACAATTATAAACTTACCTTTAAGTCGTTCCAGTAAATCAATTTGCCCAGAAGATGCCATTGCTTCATCTTCAATACTTCCTTGCAGCTGTTTTAGCACCTCCTATAAGAAATCAGCATAATTAAGAAATTCTTACCATAAGCCATCAGGGAAATGAGTCTTATCCTCCCCTAAATTATATATACATGTAGCAGCTACTGTAACACCAATGTAAACTATCTTCTATGTTAGCAATGCTGAAGTGCCCTAATTTTAATTGCCATCAAATAAATTCTACATTATTTTCCGAAACGCTGTCATTGTAAAGTCTATCCTGAATAAATAGTCTTCTCTGACAGTTCAACTTACAAGATTTAAAGTTCCACTCAAAATGAATGTACACTTCTCTCTAATTTACAGATGGAGAAACAGAAGCACAGGGAAATTAGAGAGTTGAATTTCTCAATGTGTGTATGAAGTATGACTTCAAAAATACAAAATATAGATACATAACTAAAAGTTACTAGAGTATCTTGAATACTATAGCTAGAAAGGACAGTCACATTATTCGGCTTATTATTATAACCACCATGCCTATGAAGAAGGCTCTGTGCAGCTGAAGTTTCAAAGCAATGCTACCCCTGCACGCAGTCAAAACTACATCAAACTACACAGCACAAGGAAAATACTTCTAATGTAAGATTCATAGTAAACAACGACTACCAGATTAGAAGGGGCTTGTGCCCTTGGGTTCTAATGCTCAGTGGCCTAAATTCAGGTGGAAAATTAAATGAAAGTTTGTAAAAGCCTTTTCCATCTCATAACAGTGGATACATCAATAGCAAAAATAAATTGAAAAGATTGGCCACAAGGCAAAAAGCTCTTATTGGAAAATAAAATACAATTTTTCATATTACGCTGTAGATTCTCAGAAGAAGTAAAAGCCTGAAAAAAGCTCAGAATGATGGAAGGTGATGCATACTTCTTATATAGAAGCGTCTGCCCATTATCTTAGATCTAATGAATTTTAAGCAAGTTACAAAAAATTCCACATAGTTATTTCACTATTTTAAGAAACTAGTATGCCTTACCATCAATGTTTTTGATTCTAGCAACTTGTACAGAAGGTACATCAATGCATTTTGCTCTGTCTGAAGGGAACAAAAACAGCATCTAGAAGTAGTCAAGTGTTTACACTGTTCTGCAGAAATAATTCTGGAGATGCAGCTGAGGCCAAATTTCCTGAATCTTAATATTGCCTGAACCATGGAGTAACCCAAGCGTGTGCCTACACTAGTGTTTTAGTTTGAAGTCAGCATCCCAACTGCCCCCACTAAAGGGAATTTTGTTCACACTGCAGAGTAACCTCAGCATGTGAGCTAAACTCCTCTCAGACCCACGTGAAACAGCAGTTACCATCCTCAGACTTATCAGCAGTTGCCATAATTCACTACATGGGACCAGGCTACGGCTGGTCTAAAGTAAAGACCTTTGAAACAGTCCTGGGCATCAAGTGAGTCACAGATCAGCTCTTACTAACATAAACTGGGCCACAGATCTGCTCTTCCTGCACTACCCATTAGTACTTACAGAGCCTTTATGATCAAGTCTGGTGTGATAAAATTACTACTCTCAGAAAGAAAATCTCAGCTGTGTTTGTGCTGTTAAGCATATTTAAGGGCATCCTTATTAGCCATATGTCCAGTCAACTCTATACATAGCATCTGCCTTGTCAGCGAAGTCAGACAAACAAGTAATCTGTTTTTTTTTCAAATAATGGCTCCTACATTATCCGACACAAAGGCAGATAACATTTGCAGACAGCAGTCTTTGCTTTAAAGCCTCAAATGGCAATGTGGATATGCAGAGTACTCTTGGGAGTATTTCAGGCTTGTGTCTTCTCCCAAGACTTAGCTCAGATAAATTTAGAAATAGCTGATGAACCTTTCTGCTGAGAACAACAACTTGGTGCAGGACATAAGTAAATAAATAATAATAATAAACCCCACCAACCACTCAAATCTCCACCCCTTTTAGAAGTCTCTTTCTTACCTCTCCACTCAGTAATCCAGTAATGTCAGAGACCAAATGTCCAGGATACTTTGCTAAATTATAAGTCCTCTTGCTCCAAGAGCTGATGTGAACAGCTAAGAGAAAACACTATCACCGTGCTACTGAATTACATGTCTGAATGGCCCAGGTAGCTAAGGACTGCTGCCTGACTCTGAATTCAGTTGGTGGCAACTGCTTAGCACTAGCACGCTGGGTCATATTTCTTAATTTTCTCTGCCCTAATTCATTACTTTAGGTTTTAAACTACCCTTTCACTTATTTCTGCCATATTGTATACATTTTTTTTTAGTTAGCAGGAAAAGCTACCCATTATTTCTCTTTTGTAAAATCACTGTTTAGGTAAAAATGCCTTTGAAATTCCTGTTAAAGCCTAATAAACTCAGTCACAACATACTTTAAAGTCTAAATTGACAAAGTACACATAGGTTAAAGGGAGAGAGATACTGCCCTGTGGCCAGAAAATGGTGGAAAAGGAGACTGCTAAAAGGGCAAATTAGGAATCTAGAATTTCATCGGGGTAGAGGGAGCAAGCAGCTGTCTGAAATAACCAACTTGCAGGTGATGGAGAAAGCATGACATATTATTGACCGCTGTAATATTTATTTACTTACAGAGAGCAGTTGAGCAGTTGTTGAGCAGTTCTGCCATCTTCACCCCAAGATTTGGGGGGGGGGGGTTTAAAAATAGTACTTTTCTGCAAACAGTAATTTTGCATTTAATAACTTGTTTGACAATGTACAATCTTTTGTACATTTAAGCTTTAACCACCTAAGCTAATTCAAACACATACACTAGTAATGGTTTCTAATATTATTCCATACAAGTTCTTTACCAACTTACTAGTGCCATACTGACAAAACAGGCACAAAACCATAAGTATCTATAGAGAAAGCCGCAAAAGTTTTTCTCTATTATTTTAAAAAGTGAGCCAATATAACCTAGTTTTATATGATTTAATCTAGTCTGCCTCCTACTGGAGGTCTCCAAGATTGCTTATGCTGGAAACAGAGCTCTCCCTGACACAGCCCAGACCAGGGCTGACCAGGGAACGCCACATGAAAATCACAGTGAAGATCAAACATATGAAATCACTAGCTGTACTGAATTACAACCACTGACAGCAGCGTGTCAGATACAATTCAGTATCAGCTGGAGTAGGAAGAAAATAAAATGCTTTGAATTTACTGAATCTTTTAAAGCAGGGGCACACACTTAAAAATATATGCCAAAAAAGTCATGTTCTATCAATCAACATTTAGCAACACAAGCACCTGTTTTTCCCTCTTACATAATTACTATACTGGTCCTGAGCAGGCGCATTCCTGTCATCTACACGTGTGATTCTTTCCATGTTTGTAAACAAAGCCAAAGGTTCAGCTACACATAATCTAAATCAACGGATATCTTAGTTACCACCACATTTACAACATTTGTGCATTAAAATTTGGCTTAGCTGCAAAAATGTAAACTTGTGGTTATAATTTCAGATGGCATCAGAACATTTGTCCTATCACCGTAAAGGATAAAAATAATGCATACTGAATGACTGAAAACTATTGTGCTAACTCAAATCAACAGCATTTCTAAATGACGTAACCTTTACTCACATTTAACCCATATACTGAAAATGTAACACACGGTTGCATACTAAGCTGAATATGACTTTGCAAGTTCAATCAAAAGCTTCGCACATTGTTTCAATTACTAGTTGTTTAAAAGGGCAATGAAAAAGCTATACTAAAAGCACACCCATCACTCAAATTCCACAACATTAGAAGATGCCAAAACATCTTTAAATGTGGGGGAAAAACAGAAACTGCTTTCTGTGGTCTTATGGAGAGCATAAGGCTAAAGTCCAAGGTCTTACGTGACCCTCCATAGTTATCTGAACTTGACAGTTCATCAACACTATCATATACAGTAACTATGACACTCACAGGGGTTCAGTGTGAGTTTTGGAACTAGCCCCTTGCTCCTATACATTTTGGTGACCTACACTATGAGTTAATCAAGCTTGATGGAGGCCCTCTTGATTGCCTCAAGTGTCAAGGGCAACTGCCCTTGCTGCTCAACTCCATAACCATGTCCAAATGACAACAGCACTGATAACACTATCTGTGGCAGTGGTGAAACACTCAACTTTTAACCTTATGAAAAGAGTAAGTGTCTTTGTCATGTGAAGTGATGTTATTCATTTTCATTCAGGTTTCCAAACAATGTCATATTTATAAGAAAATTATTCATTTTATGCCACCAGGCTCAAGAGCCGTCACTTGCAGTAATCATGTACTGTATTCTGTTACATTTTTAGTACAAATTCACTGTCAGATCAACTTAAGTATCTTATTTTATCCTCAGAAAGAATACTGTCTGAAGCCATGCCAGTAACTATAAATATCACCAGTCAGTTTTACCTAAAATTCCTCTAAAAAAGATCTTTGATTCCATTTTCTGAGCAATTTGTATTTTGTTGGAATTCTCAGAACAAAGACTAGGCTAAAAATACTAATTATCATGAAATCATGCCAAGCAGCTGAAAAGGTACAATATAATGTCTTTGCTGTCTCTTTCCCACCCAAATGCAGACATTCACTGATACTGAAAACGTCTGTTTTGTAACAGACATTCGATTTTTTGTTACTTGTTATTTTTCATAACAATTAGTGATTTTTTTACATCACAAGAACTTAAAAAAGTGATTTGAAAATACATTGCTCATGCAGCCACAGGCCAAAAATATTTCTCACAATTTATTTGATTCAGTTTCTAAAAATTCACCCAATTCAAAGTAGTTTCTTTCACTGACACAATAGAATTTATCAAATCATCCATGCACATGAGTTAATGCATTCAAGTTCAGTGTTAACCAACTATTTTTAAAGGATGCCTGTAAAACACTTTATTCTTTGCATGCCTACTGCATAAACAGATCTTTCTTCCCCATGTCTCACTTTCATCGATAGTATCCTTTATGTGCGCTAAGTCTAACATAACCTCTTTACCCCTGTCAAGCATGGGAGCATAGGGCTCAACAAAAGCACTCTACATGT